ATTATCTTGTTTCTGCTAAAGATAAGATGATTTGCTTGCTTTGTGATACTGCAATATCAACATTAAAGAAATACAGTGCTCAGTAGCATTATAATGTTGGGGAAATTTCAATGTTAATTCTGCTTAAAACCACAAGACAGCTAAGTAAAATTATGCACCTGTTAGCTAAAACCGCAAAACAGTTAAGCAAAGTTGTAAGCCTGTTATAACTTTACTGCTTATAAAAATTGCTGCTAATTGGCTATCTTTTCAATCTTATTGCTAACTGGTTAACCATTTATGCTTGTATGCTATTGGATATGTCTAACCCAAAAAAAAGTATAAAACCTGATAAAAGTGAGGAAGCGGTGCTCAGAATTTGGAGACAAGTCTCCTCTGGGCCCGCCGGCGAATAAACGCTGACTCTCCAACTCTCTGCGAGCCGCTCGGTTATTCCTTTGGGACTGGTTGCTGTAACACTTGCTGAAACAGTAACACTCATAAGGACCACAAATATTTTAAATTAGAGGAGAGAGGCATGAAAAGTTATATTGCAGAAATTAAAAGGCGAAAAACAAAAGCAAAGACAATTCTTTCAAACAGCAATAAGACCATTATTTCAATGGAAATAATGCCATTGAAGCAACTTATAAAGTAGCTTATATATTCGGGAAAAAGGGGAAGCCATTCAGTGATGTGGAAATTATGAAAGAATGCATTGTCGGAGTTGTAGGATGCTTAGACCCTGATAACGTTTCAAAGTACAAACAACTGCCTCTTTCAAGGAGAACCATAAATGATGGGCAGTGTGAATTAACCTTCAACTTAACAGAACAACTTCATGCAATACTTCAAAAGGAAAATATATACTATTCAATCGCTTTGGATGAATCAACTGATACTACTGAGACTTGGCACAGGTTTTATACTTCATTCAGGTCATAACAGAAGATTTTCTTTGCTATGAAGAGTTACTCACTTTGGGCACTCTTGCAAACAGAACACAGGGAATAGATAACTTCAACAACTTTCAAGATAAAGTCATGAAGTTGGACTGAATTTGGTAAATTTAGTGAGTCTATGTACAGACATACACTCACTTTCCATGACAGGAAAACATGAAAGGTTTATTGCATAGATAAAAAAAGTATTAACAGATCCAGATACTCTCATTTCTTTTCATTGGATCTTGCATCAGCAAAATCTCTGCGCTAAAGCTACTATTTTAAGTGACACTTTACAACAAGTTAACAAGTATTGTTAACTATATTCATGGAAACACAACACAGCATCATCAGTTGCATAACACGCTAAAGTTGAACTATGAGATATTTCGTGTGGATTTACTGTATCATTCTAAAGTTGTGTTGTATCATTCTAAAGTGTTGTCTATTGCAGGGACAGGTGTTAGCCAACATTTTATCTCTGTGAAAACAGATAGTTAAATTTTATAAAGAACAGAATCAGCAATGTGAATTATTAAAAGAAGATTTCTATAGGAATGCAGCATTTCTATGTGATATCATCTCAAATCAAAATGACTTGAATATTTCTTTGCAAGGTAAAACTAAGTCTATATATGATATGTGGAAAAAATCCAAGCATTTTGAAAAAAGCTATCTTTTTTCAAAATACTTATTCTTCAAAAGGAATATCAGATGAACATTTTCCCCAGTTAGCAAAGGTCATTGATGAGCAGGATGATGTATGTGAATCATTTAAAGAATACACAGTTGTTATAGACCTGTTAATTGGAGAATACAATGAAAGGTCGCTGACTTTGAGGATCATGACATCACACTCAAATTAGCATTTCAGCCTCACCTATTTGATAGCACCAAGCCACCTAAAGAACTACAAATGGAACTGACTGAGCTCTCAGTAGATGGATGACATTTTAAAGTCATTGTCTGATGCTAACATGGACAAATGCAGTAGAATACCCACGCCTTCAACAACATGCCTGAAAAATGCTTTCTTGCTTTTCAACCACTTATTGCTGAGAATCTGCAATCTCCTACACAACCCAAATCAAGATGCCCTTACATTCACAAATGATTGATACCCATCTAGAGGATCAATTCGAACTGCGGACCTCCATGCTGCAACCAAACTTTCAAGTGTTTTCCAACAAAAAGCAGACACAAGGAAGTCATTAAAAGATTAGTTAACTTTAAAGTTAGTTACCGGTTTTCATTTTTTTGAAATTATTAAGTACATAGTAGTCGTATTTTTACAAAATAATGTACATTTTTCAGTATATCTAATTGAAGTGTCTTGAATGCAGCCTTATTTAACTACAGCTCAATTAATGCAGCCTTCCAACATGAAAAGGTTCCCCACCCCTGGTCTTCATATTCTTAAAAGGTTGCAAAACGAACAAACAAGTTAAAAAGAGTATCTGCCAAAGATGATGTGTGGTTCACAAAGCCTCAAATATTTACAGAGCCTTTATAGAAAAGTTTGCTGACCCCTGCAGAAGAGATCCTGAACTGGAGGGAGCAATGCTATAAGGGACATTGTAAGGTGATCTGACAAAATCTGCATATGGATGACAGATTAAAATCATGTATCAATTTAAAGTTTTAAAGTTGACAACTGTATTGTGATTGTAAAAGAGAACATTCCTAGTCTTAAAAAATTCACACGGAAACATTTACGGGTAAAGGACCATGAGGAATTTAACATTTCCTCGAATGGCTCAGAAAAGAAAGAGTGTGTATGCCTTGAGAGAGAGAGGGAGGGAAGGAGAGGGAGAGAGGGAGAGAGAGAGGAGAAGAAGAGACAGAGCAAGTGAGAGGAAAAAAAGAGAGGAAGCAAATGATACAGCAAGTGAGAGAAAATGGTATTGATAACAGGTGAATTTGTGAATCTGTGCTCTTTGTACTATTTTTATTATTGTACTTTTTGTAAATTTGAAATAATTTCCAAATTAAAAGAAAAGAAAAGGAAAGAAGGATGCAAGGAAAGGAAAGTAGGCTTTGGAATTAAATGCAAGAGCTTAGATCTCATTCCTACTCCTTACCAGCTGCATCTTGGACAAGTGACTTAACCCCTTGATGTCTCAGTTTTCTGATCCATAAAGTAGAGATCTCAATAGGATCTGTGTTTTAGGGTTGTTGTGAGGATTATTAAGCACTCACCAAATTAGCTAGTTCTATAAATAATAAAAATAACAATAACTGAAACAGCAATAACTGAATCTTACTATAAGCTAGGCGCTCGCAACAATAGTCTTAGCTAGTATTATGCCCCTTTCCAGATGAAAAGCTAGAAGGAGACAGGGGCCACGATTCAAATCCTCATCAACCTGACTCCACACATAACCTCTTAATCATTCATTACACTATAGCAAGATCAACAACTTGCACAAAGTCACCTAGTTAACAAGTTGTGGCATAACATTTGTGCCAAGTTCTTTTTTCAACAAACCCTGTGTGCTTTCTATTCTTCATGTCTGATGCACTGTGTCCTTACTGCACAGCCTGGTATCCAAAACTTGACAGGTGTTCAACAAACGCTTAGAGAACAGAATTGGCCTGAATTAGATAGAGTGCTATCTATTTCCTCTATCCCTAGAAGAAATTTTATAGACTGATGTACAGTATTGATCTAAAATAAAATGTCTCTGTTTTAACTGTTCCTTTGAATATGGCTAGTGATTTCAAAAGATGCCCTGTAGTATAAGAAAGATCAATGGACTAGGGGATGGAAGGCTGTGGTTCTAGATTTGGCTCAGCAATTTAAGCAAATCTCTTTACCATTCAGATCTTACCAGTTTCTGTATGGAAAAAGTGAGAGGGTTAAATCATACATCTCTAAAATCTCAGAAGAGATCTTCTGATCCTAGGCCTTACAGGATTTCTACAAATAATTTTCTAAATACAATGTACAGAAAACCAACCAAAGATAACAATGTACATGAGAAGACAAGGTAACATGAATGAGAACCAGAAGAAATGACAAACAACAGAAACAAATCCACAGCAACTTTAGATATTGGAATTATCAGATACAAACAATAAAACAACTCTATTTCCGATATTTAAGAAGACAAAAGCCAAGTTTAAAAACTTAAGCAGAGAACTGGAAATTACACAAAATGACATAGCATATTTGAAATAAACAAACCAATCAGAAAATTATATAATTGAAAACACAAAATGTAAAATTAAGAAATTAATGGTTGAATTTAATAGCACACCAAACACAGCTGAAGCAAGAATTAGTGAACTAGAATATAAATCAAAAAAGAAACTATCCAGAATGAAGTACGGAGAGACAAAAGAATAAAAAATACAAACGAAAAGGCAAGAGACAGAAAATATAGTGAGGTCTAACATATGTTTAATTGAAGTTCCAAAGGACAAGAGATAATGGGGAAGAAGAAATATTTAAAGAAATAAAGACTGATAAATTTTCTAGAACTGAAAATGAATAAACTATTTTAGTGGCCCACTGCTATCAAGAACTGGATTTTTCCTTTGCAAGGCATTATTTATTTAAGAAAGACACTATATTCATGTATTTGTCCTGTCTAATAAAAGTGCTAAAGGGGAAAAATGGAAATAGTGTTATAAACTAAAATCCCAAACAAAATTATCCAGATGCCAAGATTCAAAGCAATCTAAAATTTGATGAATACCTTGATATTTCTTCTGACAGCTAGAAACTCACATGAGGTTGTTTACTATTTTAGTTTTTCCTTGTTGTTCCAGGAAAGGACTAGACGTTATTACAAAGGTGTTTGCTTTTGTTTTTTTTTAGCACAAACATTCTAAAAATTACAAACCAGAAAACACTTCAAGATGTCTAGATGAAGGCTAAAAAAGAAGCAATTTCACATACGAAAAAGAGTTTATGAGCCCAACGGAATTTAGGGCTTTCTTAATGTGTGTTTTTATAAAGGTAGCAAACCAGTAGGTATTCATTATAACAAAGTAGGGGGAAAATAAAGAGAAAAGAGAAGAAAGGAGTAGTAAGGAGGGGGATAGAAGAACGCAGGTTCGAGTCATTCTTACTTTTTTGTGCGCTATCAGGAGGCAATTGGAATGTTCGTGTTCACATGCAATTTCATAGTCGGGGATCAGCTCCGCCAACTCCTGAACAAACCGCACCACTTCCTCGTGCCAGGGCACGTTGGCCATGGTAAGGCTGCTTGCTGAACTTTCTCCACAGTAGGTAACACCCTGTGGAAACATTGCAACAGTCAGAGATGATTACAGACCTACTTGGAAGACACAAAGTGAGACTTTCAGAGCCAGATAAGCTTCTTGAGGTCGTCTCATCCAGTCCAAACCATATTTTAAAGTGAAGAAAGTGATACAAAGATGATAAAATTTGCTTAGGAGATCCTACAAATAGTGAATGACAAAAACAGCAGGCCGATGTTCTTTCCGCTCTATGACAACAGGGCTTGAGTATCTGTGCTTTGTGCTGTGTCACCATCTATGCCGCTAGTCACAATAATATATCCGAATCAATAGCATCCTTCCATTCAGATTCTTGTGTACTATAATAGATTAATTCTGGAGGGCTTATAACCTCCTAGTAGAATAATGGGGGCATAGTAGACACCCATAAAAATTCACTAACCAATTAATGGACTCACTGGGAAAATAAGGTGAGCTTTCATTTTCTAGTATAATTGAGATTTAGATTGGCAAACATTTTCTGTAAAGTGCCAGAAAGGGATCGCTTTGATATTCTTCTTTAAGGAGATCACTTTATAATGCACTTTGAATATGAATGTATATTCGTGCCTAAAAGGAAATGTATCTGTGCCTATACATGACATACCTTTACACATACCTACATAGACATGCATGTATCTCACCAATATAGAAACTCCTTTTAAGTACAACTATAGTAAGATAAATTGGCTTTTAACTCTTCTGACCTCTACCTGACGGCCCAGGCATTTAAGACTCAAAAGTTTCCTAAATAAGTTCTTTATATGGTAAATTACATAGTGATAAATGATTAATTTTCTAATAATAAGGAATATCTTAATACTGTGGGTTCTTTAAATACCCTACAATCAAATTTTCTTGACAATTGGTTTGAATATCCTAGATATGCTTCTACTAAGTGGGGAATAACTAAAATAAAAACAAAACATATGCACCGCTCACACACATTCTTTCACACACACATGCAAACACGAACACATACCCAGACACACATCCCACACAGATTGGAGGAGGTAGAACGACACTGAATTAAAAAAAGAAAAACAATCCACAAATGGGCACTGCAGAGTGACTCTGACCCTGCTGATGGCAGAGGTGGGACTCAGTCGAGGACTTACGTGAGCTCTGCAAAATGCTCTACTCCAGATGGCCGTTGAAAAAGATTAATGGTATACTACATGAGATGGCCTTTGTGGAATATAAACTGTAGGCTACCCGGCTTAATTATACTAGACAAGAGAATCTTCTCTTCTCTATTTGCTCAGTGATTCAGAGAATTCATTAAACTGAGTGGGAGTTTTAAGTGAATAAAAAAAGCAAATAATAATTTAGCTCAAAAAATCATTAAGAAGATATGGCTGAAAAACTATGCTAAACTTACCCAAATGCATAAAAAAACATGAAAATGATTTATTCATAGGCTGAATTAGTCATAAAAACATTTTTTACTTCACTTTAAATACTGTTTATGATGTGTGAATTATACAACCAAGCATGTAGTAGCTAGTTCAAAGGAATTTCTTTTTAATATTTTAAAAGTTAGTTTGCTGAAGTATAGAGGTTTTAGATAAGATCTTATATTCATGACAATAACTTTTGAAAATATTTTAATATTTTTTATTCAGCAACAATAAATCAGGAAACATTAAGGGGAGATTTGGTTTGGGAATGGAATGAGAGAATGAATGCCGCAGTTCATTATTAGGACTTCACAATTCCTTACAACGGTGTAATGCTTTGGTTTACAAGGCCCTTTCACATAAAAGTTCTCATTTTAGCCAGATAAAACCCTCAGAGGGAAGCAGTACTGGGTAACATCCTGAGTCAACCACAGAGCCTGGGCCTTCACTGTGACAGAAACGCTCTGGGCAGAAAGCAGTCTCGGTGCCTTAGATTGCAGGTCACTTTCGGGAACCCGAGCCCTCACTGCCCAGTATTCTCTGCTTTGACTACTTCATCCTACACTCCAGTCTCCTGCAGAGTTGCCCTGACTCTACTCCTGAGCACGGCTGACCCTCAGTTTTTCCCTCATATCATGGCTGTCTGCCACCTTCTCATCCTCTCCACCCTCACCTCCTACCCCACTCATCACTAGCAGCGAGTTCTTTCCCTACAACTCAGGAAAACAGATGGGTACGATGTGGCGATAGAAAAGCAATGTCATTCACTCCAGAATCTGCAGGCTGAGTAGGGACAAGCAGACCCAAAGAACAGGACTATTTATGCATCTTTGGGTTTGTAGTAAAAAGCATAACTCACATCATTACAACCCGGTGGCTTTCTGATGCCTCACACTACCTAGGAGATGGGGACTTGGAATGGCTACTTGGAATGTCTGCCTTGGGATTCATGGTCCGCGGGAAGAGCAGTATTTTGGCAGTTTGACTATGTGATATTCCAATTAGACCCATTGGGTTTTTGTTCCCTAAAGTTTGATGAGAAAAGAAATGTTGACTTCCTGATTTTTTTTCAGCAATATACCCAAAACATGTTACTTCTTTATCCTAAAAATGCTTCAACAGCTCCCCCGCCAAACAGCCAAAGCTTCTCAGCATGGCACATGAGGCCTTCTTCACCTGCCTCTGAAGCCTGTCCTAGCGATGGACCATTAATGTGCCCTTGCCTTTGCCCAAGCACAAGTGGCTCTAGAGCTGGACCACCCGCTCAGCATCTAGTCCTCACTCAGCTAAAACACCCCATCATTTCTTTACCCTCCAGTCAGGAACCCCCACTGCGTCAATGTGTCTGAACTCTGCATCTTAGCGGCAGGGGCTGCACCTTGTTCTCTGTATTCCCAACCAATCTGTGCTGAATAAAGAAAAGATCAAGTCATACATTCTTCTATGACATTAAACTCCAGAACTCTTTTCTAATCTAATATAAAATTTCATTCATATTATTTAGGATTTTTCTACTCTTTAATAATTATGAAACAACTCATAAACATTGGTTAGGTACTTCTATGTACATGAACTACTGGCAATATTCTTACCTATGTGTGCAGAAAGGAAGTGACGTTATCCTAAGACATTTGCAAGGTGCCTTCTGCAGGGATTGAGCACGGTAGACAGTTTACAGTGCTAACAGTAAGTAGCTTTAAATCATTTGATAACAAATTACTGAGCATTTGCTAGTCTCGAGGTGTAATACTAGCCAGAGAATACAAAGGCAGCATTTCATTGACAAATGGATTGTGTTATAAAAGTTTTCAATAAGGCAGATGTCAGTAACATAAAATACATTTTCACAAACAAGCAAGCAAATAATGATAGTTAAGATTCTCAGACTGGCAAATAAAAGCCTATTTAAGTCTAATGAAGATAAAATATATGCTAATTTACAGGGAATATAATAGAAAAATACCTTACAAGACTGGCAATGAAAGAAAAAAAGAAATTGATATAATAAAAAAATAGTCTCATTGATTTACTTTAAATAAATGTGCTTAGTGGAAAATGATCTAAACATTTACTGAATCCAGGAATACATTATCCCACTGAATTCTCAAAACAGACCTATTAAATAGATATTATTCTAATTTTAATATTCAGGGAGTTTAGGCTCAAGGAGGATAAGTAACCAGTCCCAGGCAACATCTGTACATTTTAGGTAAGTATCAGAACTGTGGTCTTCCCCCTTCCCCACAAGACTCCAGTATCCGTAGACTACAGAGACCCCAGGCCCCACATACACACGTCCATCCAGGACAGGAGATGCTAAGGGCACCGACTGGCCACGACACCACTCCCATATTGACAGTCTCCCTTCTTGACCCAAGGGTGTTACCGCTACAACTTATACAGTCAAAGTGAGGGTGATTTTTTCCCTTTGGCTCACAAACATCAAAAGAGAAACTGTGAAGACAGCAAATAGAAAAAGGAAGACAGAGTTTCCCAAATCTGATTAGGTTAGTGCTAGAAAACAAAACAAGAAAAAGAAGTTGAATAGGGAGCATACATTTATGTGAAAAACTTTACTCAAAGTGGATTGAGTAATTTGTAAACAGTTCCGTACAATATTCTAAACACACAAACCATATGTGTTTCTGTTTTAAAGTCCTAGAAATTAACAATAAAAAAACAAGCAACTCAATTGAAATACAAAGGACATGAATAGCATTGTGTTTGCTACGAGCTCCAGGCATGTCACTAACTAGGGCCAATTTGCATTACCAATTTCACATCTTGGGGGCATTTATGTGACCTTGATTGAGGTACTAATAAATTTGAACTCCAAACCCCTTTGAGAGTTAGGCCCTGGGGAGACTTTTCCTTTTTACCAAAGCATAGGTAAGGAAAGTGTTACCTTCCAAGTGTTACTGTGTTAGTGGGTAAATTTTTTCCTCATCCATCCTTTCACTGAGGGGGAAGGGCCTAGTCTTTTTGTCCTTTAAACCCAAGTCCTGTCTACTGGAACCATGAAATGTTACTAGGATGGTCTCTTTTCTTCTACCCACGAAGGGTGTCTCTTACAGACCCGACAGATCAGCTATATTCTTAAAAGTATTGTTTTTCATAACATATTCACTTCTAAGTATTTATTTTTGGAGAGATTTGAGGTTATCTTAGTCTGTCATATTGTTAGTTCTTATGAAATGTGTTTTGCAGAGAGCTTGTTATTTTCAAAACTCCTCTGTTTTAGAAAATTTTAACTTTAATTAATAAGGACAACAACAAAAAGATGCCTTTTCAGACATTAAGTGGTTTAATCCTATTGAACAGGAAAGCATGCCTTCTCCATTTATTGATTTCATTTCAGTCCTTTGAATTACAAAAGTAATGCATACTTGTTATAATTCACACAATATAGAATTATGAAAAGTAAAGTTAATAACCCTTTCCTTCCCTTTCTCTCAAAGAGAACATGGTTAACAATTTTATATATATCCTTCCATACTTTTCTTACATAAATACATCTGAACATATGCAGTTGAAAATGTAATCAAATAATAAATATTATTCTACAATTTGTTTTGCCTCTTGGTAGTATACTATATTCTGTAAACATCCCTTTTGCTACTTCAACTTAAAAGGAAGATACTTCGTTAACCTGCTGGACAAATGAGAGGTGAAGTTAATAAAACATGTGCTCTAACCCCGCAGTGGACCAGGTACCTGACATTGCAGGCAGGGTATTTCTCCCGCAGGTCTTCTACAAGAGACAAGACATGACTATGCTTTCCCCTGATATAACACAAATTATCACATTATATTTTATCATTCAAAAATTATTTTAATTGGCCGGGCGCGGTGGCTCACGCCTGTAATCCTAGCACTCTGGGAGGCTGAGGCGGGCGAATCGTTTGAGCTCAGGAGTTCGAGACCAGCCTGAGCAAGAGCGAGACCCCATCTCTACCAAAAATAGAAAGAAATTAATTGGACAGCTAAAAATATATAGAAAAAATTAGCCGGGCATGGTGGCGCATGCCTGTAGTTCCAGCTACTTGGGAGGCTGAGGCAGTAGGATCGCCTGAGCCCAGGAGTCTGAGGTTGCTGTGAGCTAGGCTGACACCATAGTGCTCTAGCCCGGGCAACAGAGTGAGACTCTATCTCAAAAAAAAAAGAAAAGAAAAAAAAAAAATTTATCTCCAGTGCTTTAATGAATACTGGGGCACAAGGAGAGAGCTCAAAAATATTGTGGAATGCAGGGATAAAACAGTAAAGTGTAAACTTTGTTGTTATAACATCTCAGCTGTAACAGAAGGCTTTATTTATTTCCTAGTGATGTTAATAGTTTGCCAAACTAAAAAAGATCCATCAAGAATTATACAGTTTACCAAGTAGCCATCTTCCTTTAAAAAATAATGCTGGCTGATTTTTTACAGATTGTAAAGTACCTTGTTCTTTATAGAAAACATGACTGCAAGAAGGGAAGGAAGGAAGGAAATGAAAAAAGGTATGATTCAGCCAAGTTGCTTTATAATAATAGAGGTTTTACTGCAACATAATCTGAGGCAGCATTCTTTAATAGCTAAATCATAAATTAAAATGCCACTAATCTCTGATGTTGGCAAGGTTTTCGTAAGCTGACAACATATATTTTCAGATGTTGTTTGTGTCTTTGCATCATTAGAGTTCTTGCCAAGAGTAGCCTTTTGAAATTAAGAGCAATTTCAAAAGAAAAGAGTGTCTTTGACCTGACCAGAGACAAGATGCTTCACACTCAGACAGCAGTATTTCACCTGTTCCCATCTCCCCACCCCTCCGGAGTACAGTAATACAGAAAGCTGAACTCATTATAAGGCAGCTGTGAAACTCTGAAATCTCTGACACAACATAGAGAGCATTCAGTTTCAAAAACATAAATTGAAAAGAGTAGAGTTGGCTTTCCGAGCCTGGGTACGTTTTTCCATTACTTTCTCTCATTTTGTGGACTTGTACTTGCCAAAAAAAGGCCATTTGCCTCTTAACACTCCATAGCTTTAACTATCTTATGCTGAGACTTCCAAAGTATTATTTCCAGTCCCGTCTTATCCCCGAAACTCCAGGCTTGTATAACCTATGGCCTATTTGAACCTACGCTTGGATATTTAAGATACCTCAAATTTAACATGGCCAACAGGGAACTCATAATAATTTCACTCCAAACTTGCCCTCTGCCACCACTTGTTTTCTCAGTAAACTATTTTACCCTCCACACAACTGCTTAAGCCCAAACTCCCACACATTAATCTAGCAACAAACTTTATTGGTTCTACTTCCAAAACGTATCCTAAACACACTCACCGCTTTCCAGCTATGTTAGCACTGACCTTCCTCAAACCATCATATCACGTGCTTGGATTAAGCAATGACTTTGTAACTGGTCTACCTGTTTCTACTACTGCCCTCTATTATCTATAATCAAGTCACAACACAGCAGCAGGATGATCTTTTAAAATCATAAATCAGATCACTTCCTCCCCAGCTTAAAACTAGGTGCACCTAGTATATAAAAAGCTTACCATTAAACTTAGTTTAAAATCAAATTCCCTTATCTTTGCTTGAAAGGCCTAATAAAACCTGCCCCCAGCCCATCTATCTGATTCATCTTGTACCACTGCCAACCTCAGCTGCTGCACCACGATCACACAGGACCTTTGTGTTCTAGCTGTGCCATGCCCAGAATGCTTCTACCTCTGCCTTTGAATGCTGGGTTGCTTCTTACTATTTCGGTATTAATTAAAAAATAAAAATTCATCTGCTCAGAATAG